GGCGGCGGCAGCGGAGGGGACCGGGACCGGGACCGGGGCCGGGGCCGGGCCGCCCCTCTCAGCTCCTCTCCCCGCCCCGCGGCCGCCCCCAAAACTCCGTTTCTTGTTTCCAGCCTATCCACGCGGTTAGGGCGAGGGAAGGCGATATCCCGACGCCGGACGCAGCTGGAATTTCTGGAGTGCTGAAGTTGCACCAGTTTGCAACAGCGGAGAGCAGAGTGACCTCCCTCTGTAGCTTTGCATTTTCGCAGAGTGGGGAATAAAACTGGTGTCAGGATGGACAGTGACCTCCAGACACATCTATCCACACACAACTGTTCTGAATTCTGTGTTTCTCCTTCCCTTCTGTCTGGGCATCCTTCAGGCCAACCAGGAGAGCGGGTGATCTCTACACCTAGCGCAGCATCCAAATGAGCTGCGGGCAGATATCCAGTCTCAGGAGATTTGTCACTTAAGGTTGTTACATCATTTGTATCAGAAGCATCTTTGCCACTGGTCCCCTATGAAATATTTCAGCATGCCCATATATATATATTGTATATGTATGAAGAGCATGAATGAATGCTGCATGTTTTTGAATAACATGAAAGCCAAATCTCCATGCATCCTGACCATGAAAAACAGGTTTCTTGAAAGCACAACTCAAGTCTGGGTTCCTCCTTGCTTTTGTCTCCAGTCTCCTAAGCTCCCTCCCCATGGAGATCTTACATAATCGCAGATCTCCATCAACACACCATGTATGATACTCCCAATGGGCAACAAGAGACATGTGCAGTGTTAATTCGTAGCTACACGTTTGCTTATTGGCCACCTTGTTCATCCCTGGCTGCCCCTTCCAGTGAAAAACCAGTTGCCTCTGGCATAGAACTACAGTGTTGGGTGAAGGGGGACAGTGAGTGTTATTTACCTTGAATTTACCCAAGGCTTCACTGTCTCCCACAGAATGCAGGTTAGGTGTGGATGGGGGACAACCAGCTGGCTGGTGGGGCTGTGAGGGGGCATTAATGGCCATCTTGGCCCAGAGACTCATCATGAGGACAGTACCGCGGGGTACCTGCCCCGCACCCAGGCTTGGGCCCCTCAGTGAGTGAAGGACACGAGCAAGGAGTGAGTTCAGCAGAGGGGTGCAGAGATGGTTAGGGCTGCAGCACCTGCCCTGTGGCAGAGGCTGGGGGATCTGGGCTTGTCCAGCCAGGAGCAGAGACAGCGTTGGGGGCACCTGACAGCAGCCCCCAGCACGTGGTAGCTCCTCACAGAGCTGTGTAGCAGGAGGACAAGAGACCACAGGCATCTACTGGAACAAGACAAGCTCAGACTGAATGTGGGGAGTAGCTTTTCCCCATGAGGACAGTCGGGCAGTGGCTGCCCAGGGGCTGTGCAGTCCCCATCCCCAGACGGTCTCCACCCCTGGCTGATTGAAGCCCTGAGCGTCTGGGTCAAAGCTCAGAGGTGACGCTGCTGCAAGCAGGAGGATGGGACCAGGGGCTTCCTGAGGACCCTCCCACCCTGACTTCTGTTATCCTGTTTGCATGAAGCTGTGAAATTCTGCCCCTTAAAGTCACTGAGATTTGCTGAAGGCCATCTAGGCATGGGAGTGAATTGATGGGTGAAGAGAGAGCATCAGAAAAGCAGCCTTGGCGCGTACACCGTGTGTCCTTAGGCAGCCAGGCTGAAGGATGGGGTTGCTCGGCTCAGGGGCTGCACATGATGGCTGCAGTAATTGGGGTTCAAAGATGATGATGATCCCACACACAGTCACACTGTACACGGTCCACAGCCTCGCTGGCATCCCTCTCCAGCTGCAGGGATTTCCACACGGATCTGAGTTGCAAAAGCGACTTGTTCACCACCACCCTCCGCACGGTCTCATGCCAAGGGACCCCCGGCAATCTTGTCAAGGGAAGTCACGGGCGTGCGGCTCTCCGTGCGGTTAACCTACATATTCTGTGAAGACACAGTCGCCGATAGGAAACTATTTGCCTAGAGCTGCACGATGGGTCAAGGCCGCGCGCCCCATGGCCAGTCCTGGGGATCCAAACTTGGAGCATCTGTTGCCGTTGCCATCAGGATCCTGGAAGCAAAATGAAGATGCTGGATTTTTTATTTATTTATTTTTCCTTTGGCTAAACTATGTTGTTCACAGTAAGTGAAAAATAAATACAGTGCCAACACATTTGCTCATTTGAATGCACAGTTTATTTCAAATAACTGGCTTTAAATATGAAAATTCTATAAATTATGACCATTTATAGACAGATCTCTATTCAAATGATTCTTTCCCCTGTGGTTTCACATAATTGACCATTTTATAGAATTGCACCATTCTATATAAATATCAGTTTACGGATCCTCAACAGACTTTGGTCTTGCACAATTAATTTATGACCAAAGACTGCTTTTTTTTTTTTTAATAAGTCTATATTAAATCAAACCACCTGATTTACTGTACATACATAATACAGCAAACAAACACCCTTTTGTGCCACTAAGGTGAGCACTTAATGCAAATTCTACTGAACAGGTACAAAACATTTACAAATAAAAATATTCTAATTGTTCTAAACAATGCCTTTCTAGTCAAGCAAAGCTGTAGGACTATTTACCTCCCTTGTAAACACTTATTATTGTTTAACTTACATATGTTGTTTTCCCTAATTTTTGGACTAACATATTTTGCAGAAATCTACAGCATCAGAAATTCCTCAGTAATATTAAGTTGGTTTTATTGTCTTACCCTACAGAATCCTGTATATACAGAGTAGAAACATTTACAGAAAAATGTAATTTCTCCTTAGAGCAGCCCATCTTACAGGATTACAATTACATGGTAGCTATTTCCTTCCAATATTATGTATTTCAGCATATGCTTCCAAAACAGGTAGGTCATAAAGAACAGTTCTGACTATAAATACACAGTTTTTATTAGCCCTTTTATTTACAACAAAAGACAAATTATCATACTATAAAGTAATAATACTTACATTTCCGTACATGTTTGAATGATAGCTTCACTTCTTTAACGAAGTTTACAGTATAAAAAACTACGGATACCAGTTACCTACCACAGTATTTTTCATCTCTTTTAAATTTTTGTGGAATATTCAGTCATACAAGCATTGCTTGTTTTGTTTAAAATATATTATTTTAAAATATCAATATACTGTCCTTCCAGTTACAAAAATATAATTGTTTTACAGAAATTTTATTTAATTAAAAAGCATATCAAAAATATGGATCAACATTTTAGACTATGTGTGAAACTATTAAAATAGAAATAAATGCTATATAATCATTTAAAAATACTACCTTCTGGCTCAGTGAGCCCTTGGGATTTTGCATGACGAGAGGTCAAAGCTTAGTTAGAAATTTAATGGCCGGGGTGGGTTCTGGCTACTACTACTATGTTTACTATGGCCGAGGAGGAGCTGCAGGAAAACGTTTGCAGTCTTTAAGCTCAAGCTCAAAGCATAAAAAGTTTCACGGTGACCAAAGGAATTTTTGGAAAACATCCCAAGGGGAAGGTAATCTAGCAAAGGACAGGAAGTATTTCCCACTGGTTCTATTCCGTTCAGATGCAGAGGAATTACCAGTTCTGTAGAGCGCAGCCTTGAACCAGCAAGGTGCCTCCTTGGACCATCCTTGGTGCCCACCCCTGGAGCAGCCCAACGGTCACACTGAGCTCGGGACACGGACAGTGCGGGTGTGCGCTGGGCGGCATGGATGGACATTAGGATCTGCTAAATGAGGAAAACTGGAGAAACAGAACACAACAGCAGTGTAATACATTTCTTTTCTGCTCAATCTTCTAAGGAAATATAACTAGAGCTACAACTTATCCCACTTATCCCACGCAGACAGGAGCCTAACCCAGTGCTTGCTCAGGTCAGCAGAAAGTCACCTCTAACATACTGCTCTGCAGCCATTTATCTTTGATAATTTCGGGAAGTTTTTTTTCTTTTTTTTGTTCTAGGAAAAACAATGATGAGCCCACATATTTAATACAAAAACTCAAATACTCATTTACCTTAGGATACTAACTTCATTAAGACTAACCAAACTGTACCAATTTATGGCAGCACAAGACCAGGCTCAAAACATGTCACACATTTCTGCCTGCCCAGCGACTGTCTTGCCATCTTAGTGCCACAGGTTGTCATAGCTCTGACTCTTTATCATCCTCATCCAGGTAATACTCATCGTCGGTGGTAGTGTCGGTGTCCGAGTCCGAGTACGTTGCTGCCTCTCCCCGGCAGATCTCCGTCGACTCTCTGGGGGATGAAGCTGCTGATGACATTTTGCTCCCAGCAGAACTTGAGCTCCAAAGCTCACGTCTGCTTAGACAAGGGCTCTCCCCATCTCTGAGGGAGCCAGGGTTATTTAGAAGGCAAGGCCTCCACAACCGCCCTTCCGTGAGCGACCTCTTGATGTTTTCCAAGAAAGCCAGTTGCTGTTCCTTGCCGAATATCCCAAACTCAACAGAGGGATACATCAGGCTCCTCGCGCTGCAAGTTCTTATGTCATCAGATGCCCAGTTTTCATTCTCGTCGCAGGACAGCAGCTCTGAGTAAGACTTAAATCTCTTCCCTTGCCTCCCATCCTGTGGGAGAAGGCTGCTTCCCGAGGCAAAGCGGCCCCGCGACGCCCGCGTCCTCTCGGAAAGGTGACGCTCGCGGGCAGCTTTGGCATGACTCTTGCGCAGCTCATCGCTGCGCAGATTGGCGTTTTTTAAGCTATTAGACTCATTTTGCTGCTGACCAAATGCTATCTGAGAAGTCGAGCTTTGCTCTGGACCTAGATTTGCCTGTGAGCAACTATTTATGAAGGGGTTTGAGTTTTTGTCAGTGAGAAGAGGCAAGGGAGGGCTGCACCCACTGCTGCTCGCTCGTCTCTCATCATCCAGCAGGTCTGCTTTAGTGGCACGGGGGGAGAGAACTTGGCTTCTCTTTTCTAACCCAAGGCCAAGTGTTTGGGCATTCTTATTCCTTGTGGCTCTTTTATCTGGAAATAGGGCTTGGCCTGACAGACTCGGTCTGTTTTCCAATCTCACTGTGTTTTTGGGGGGACTAATTGCTTCTTCCTGAGTGTATGAACTCATAATAGACCTCCAATTTGTGTTATTAGCAAGCAAAGAAAGATCATTTTCATTCTCATTTCTCTCAGCTGTTCCTTGCATGGGGGTATTGCCTTCAGGGCCCCGACCACAATTCTGGTTTTCGTTTGCAGATTGCAGCAATGACTGACTGCCATCAGCTGAAAGCAAAGACTCAAGGGGCAGCTCAACCTCCACAGAAGTGGCACCTCCATCGTTCTGTGAAAAAATATTACTGATGTGTGGCTTTGGGGGTAAATTCTTACTTGAAAATTTTCGACTTGTTTTGTAAACAGCTGCCAGTTTATTTTTAATTGAAGGTCTATTTTTCCTTTTTTCTATATCTTTTACTTTGTCTCTTGTGCAGCCAGAGAGAAGCTTACTCTCATTTTCCGCACTCTGTGTTAACTCCTGATCTTGTGTAACCCCAAGGGCTCTATCTTTGCAGTCAATATTGAGGCCCGTCTCACTGTGCCTCTGCGACTCCTGCAGACCTGGGTAATCTTTACCCATCTCAGAATCCTGCACATTTTGAGTGGTTTTAATTTTTGGATTCTTTGACACACCTGTACCTGTGCTACCCCTTTTGTCTAGCTGAAGTGATGGGTCACCACCGGAAGCTGTGTCTTCCACGGATGCTGTGTTCTGAGATTCTGAAACCTTTTTGCTACAGGAAATTAAATCATTTCTGCTATTTCTTGAACTGCCAGTTCTTAATTGCAGCCCACTACATCTATTACTATACAGAGGGGTGACTTGGTGCAGATTTTCTCTTCGTTTGACTTCTATATTATCCCTGTGCCTGTCTTCAGCTGAAGGACCTGACACTTTAGAATTACTGGTCCTACCAAGAGAACTTTTCACCCTCGTGCGGAGCAGCAGACTGTTCTGATTTTTATTTGTGTTTGCTTTAGTGGGCTGACAGCAGCTCTCAGAGCCTCCCTTTTGCACACTCTTCCTACTTACCGAGGTCGAATAGCTGAGATCCTCTACGGGTACGTCTGGTTTGGGAGGGGTGGGCAAGGTGGAGACAGATGGAGTGTCTGTTTGCACATTTTCCTTTTCTTTTAGACACTTTTCTGTAATTCGATTGCTTGAAGCACCAGAACTGCCCTTACCTGTGTTACCCACTGTTGCAGCGGGTCGTGGATCACCAAAAGAAATGCCTGCTGTCCTCGTGCCAGGAAGTGCACGTTTTGCTAATGGAAGAACTGGTGAAGCATCTTTCCTAACATGTCCTGCACCTATTGCCTGTGAAGCACATCCCCATCCATTATCAGAGCTAAGGGGCAAGGGGGAACTCCTGTCTTTACTGTCAGCAGCAGCTTCTAAATTCTGAGGTGCGACCACAGCTGAAGGCACTTGGTCAGAAGAGTACGAAGGCACCTCTTTTTCCAAAGCATTAGGGAAAAACACATCTGCTAAACTCACACGGCCTTCATTTTTCTTGTTATGTACTCTTGGTGATGGAGAATTTGCTTTGGGAAGAGGCAATTCTGTGTCCTCTGGATTATCCCTAAAGAGGGTACAAAAAGTCCTGGAATGCCTCCGTGGTAATGTGTAATAGATTGAAACTAGTTCATGATACTTGACATGGTCTTCATCAACACAAACTGTAAATGTGCTTGTAGTTTTGTATTTCTGCAAACCATTTCCCCTTTCCTTGCAGTCCGAAAACCCAGAGTATCCTCCTCTGCTCAGATCGCTACAACTATCTGTCAGTCCAGCTGAGGTACTACTACTTACTGAATCCTTACGACTTCTGGTGAAAGGATAATCTTTTTCTTGGATACCTGAAGCAGCACTTAATGGTGCTGCTGTTAAGGAATGGTTTGAGTCTGAACAAGAGAAACTTCTCTGATTAGAACAAAAGGGATCAGTTCTATTTGGTGCTTCCATCCTTAAACGCTCCTGGGTGCTTGTTCTGCTCTCTCTAGGTAAAGAGATGGCTGTATCTGACATGACACTGCCAGCGATGCTAGCTGATTTTCTAGGTAAGGTATAATAGATAACAAGTGGGTCAGAAGATTTGGGGTTGCTTCTGAAGCTAGGGGAGCCAGTAATGCTGCAGCTACTGGTGTATCTCAGTGAGCAGTCTTGCTTGTTAGGCCTTTCAATACAAGGTGAATTATTCCTTATGTTTCCATTTTCATTTTCAAGGCAAAAATAATTTAAACTATGTTCAGAGGTCTTAGGGTCTCCAAAACTATGTGTATAAATATTTCCAGAGCTTTCATTTTGTGCACAACTAGTAGTGAATTGTCTATTGCACTCCCTGGTAACTAAAGTGCTTGGACTTCGTGATGTTTTCTGTGAAATCTTTTTGGTAGCATCCACTGTGCTCACTTGAGTTGTTTTTCCACCTTCTGCTTGAGCTTCAGTAACTGTGCAAGTTCCTGAAGAGTTAGTTAGTGTTTCTGGACATATTAAATTGTCTTTATGAGAAAGTGCTTGTGAAGAGCTTTCTGAGGAACTAGATGAACATTGAGGACTGAGCACCATGCCCTGATGGCTCACTAGTGTTTCAGGGGATGGAGCAGAATCAACATCCACAAGCGAAGACTCTCCCTTTGCTGTAACTTGATTAACTATTTCTGTACTCTGATTATCCACTTTAATACTTTTTGTTGCATAACGCAGATTATGTTCCCATGGCTTCTGGCTTGGAAGAAAAGATTCCTTTCTGCTCTCCTCAGCTGGCAAAACACAGGGTGGCTGATTGAACCCCCTGCTGGGTGGGAGGTCATTTCCCTTCATTTGCACCTTTCTTTTATTATTGTTTGATGTATCTGTTTTTGCAGCCTCTCTTCTGGCTGTGACTTGGGGCTGTCCCTTTGATCTCAGTGGGTTAAAGAGAGATGAACTGCTTGGCAGGATGGCAGAAGCAGAGTTACTGCATGGAAAACTCTGGGTGTTGGTGTAGTTTGTATCTGCTTGTTGAGAAACCGACAGTAAAGTCATGTCTTTAATAGCTACTTCATCCAGCAGATTCTTATCTTCGACATCATCTAGTTGCTCCAAGCCCATCTCAGAACTTCTCTGAGTAACGACGACTGAACTGCTGTTCTGTCCTAGAGGTTTTGGTTGGTCCCCTGAATCAGGAAAGACTGGCTCATCACTTCTGGCGAAACATGAAGAAACTGGAGAGTTACAACTCAGCCAAGGCTGGCAGCTGTCAGTGAATTCTGAAAAAGTTCTGTTACTTATACTTCTTGTTATCTTTTTGATGCTCATGTTTTCTGGAGCATACCTATGGAAATCACTCTGCAGGCGCTGGGTGGCATACTTGGCATTCTTTGTGTGCGTCCACTGACGGTCATTTAAGTTAGCCATAACCACTTCAAAGCTGGCATCAGGGGAAATGAACACTGTGTCACTGTGGTACGGAGGTATATCAGCCCAAAAAGGATAGTTATCTTTTATCCCATAGGGAGAATTTTTTTGGTTTATATATAGCTTGCCATGAGAAGAAGTATCTCTAGAGCAGGACTTAGAGAGATTATTTTCTGATTTGTATAATGGATAATTTTCCCAGTTATCAAAGGACAATGGAGAAGCAGCTTTGTCAGGACAACTCACTCTGCTGAAACAATTACTACTTGAAAGAGATCTTTTGTAGTGGTGTTTCGAATGGTAACAAGCATATTTCCTACCTTCCTGCAAAGGGCTGGGATATCTGCCATGGTCTGTTGCATGGAACTCCAGCAGGGATTGGGTTCGAAACATTTTTTCTTGAGCTGATGTTTGAGCTGCAGACTCCGGCGTATTGTTCCAGACGATAGAAGACAGAGGAATTCTCTTTGGATTTTGTCGACCAAACCTCGGTATAAAACCATCGTTGCTCTCCCTTGCCAAGGGATGCTGTAAAGCAGATGCTGATAGCTGCTCTGAAGAGACTGAGGATGAGCACCTCCGAAGGGAACACACAGAGTAACTTCTGCCAGCAGTGTCCCTGTTCATGTAATGCTTGTGCCTAAACCCACTGTTCTGCGTTATGGAAGGAGGATACAAACTACCTTCTGAAGACTGTCCATACGAAATAGAAGACAGTCTGCTGCTTAGTAGGTGAGGATTTCCATCAACTGGATCACCATATTTGTAATCTTCTTTAAAGGCTGCCTGGTGCCAATTTATGTAAGCACTTTGTAATTTCCTGGGCCTGATGAAAATCTTGTGTTCCTCTTTGGCTCTGATTGTTCTCAGTCCATCTGGAAAAAACGCACTAGGCAGGTCGCTCCAGGCGGCTCTGCGCTGCCCTCGCACCGTAGCCGGCCTCCCGCAAGCACCAAAGGCTTTGCTGGGCTGCACATTTGCACTGTTAGGAGGAACTGTCTTGTCCAAAGGATCCTGGGCTTGTTCCTGGGCCAGCTGGTCATCCAGATCATCTAGAACTGCACAGGAAAAAAAAAAGACACATACTTGGTTTTGTTTTCTTTAATAACCTCTTGACTATTTATGATAAAAGTTTCATGTGCTACATTAATAATTACGACTGGTTGTGAAAGGAGTCGGCTTCTCAACACTCACAGCCCTTCCCAAACCACACGAGCTTCCTACACAGGGCCTTTCAGTGGTCACCCATCATGACTACAAGGGAAAAAATGTACTGCTCCATGACTGATCTTAAAACTGTTCTTTAAGTAAACGCTAACCTCCTGCTATTTAAAAGAAGAACATAACATTCTGATGTCTGAATTCATAATCGCCAGCCAAACACAGGGAGAAAGCCTTCCGAAATTCCATTTTGTAAGGAAAAAAAAAAGTCTCAGAAAATGATTCAATATGCTCATAAGCACATTCCTTTTCTGCAGGTCCCCAGAGCACAGTTAAGAGGTAACTGTAAGGCAGCACAGAACTCTGCATGCCCTCCAATTATTCTGTATATTCAGCAGCCTCGCATGGCATGCCCACTGTTTGCTTCATTCAGAAAACAAGTTATTCACTGAGTAGTTACTTCTTGCTTACTCTGAATTACTATAAAAATGTCATTTTCTTCATTAAGAAAAAAAGGCATAATGAAATATTAGGAAGCTGTGATTCCCATCAGCAACAAGGCCATATTTATAAACCAGTTTGATTAACTGGAATTACACATTACACAGATGAGCTAACCAAGTTATTCAGTCACAAGATTAAGTAATGATAATATATTTAAAGCATTTTTATTGCGGAAAAAAAGCGCATTTGTGAATTGCATTTGCATATTTTGAGAAAAGCATGCATAAGATCAAACCACAAATGGATTTGGCTATTTTGTTACAGCATTTCCTAATTAACTTAAATGAAAAAAATAAATAAAAATCACTGAATAGCCAGCACAGATCTGTGAAAACTGTAAAGGATCATAAAGAAAGCATTGTTAAAAATACAGAATTGGAATAAAAATGGCACAAGGAAACTAGATTTTTGCATTTTTCTCAGTTTCTCTTCAAAAGGCAGAGAACTACTGGGAGAGCCAATTCGGTATAAGGAGAAAAGTGGCTGTTTTTGCTCCTTCCCCTTGGAGAAGAAGGGCCAGGCTATGCAGTCAGCAGGGCAGCGCGAGCACTGACGCCCCGGAGCAGAGCGGGCACGTGCGGGTGCAGAGCCGCGCGGCGCCC